CGAAGATGCGAAGGTCTGTACGACTACCAAGCATGATGCCTCCCCAAACGAGAACACCGCCACCTCCATACCTGTCCCTTTCAATGATGTTCGAGGGATGATTGCGGCTTCCCCGCTCTCTCCAGATGAGTATGCGATGAGAATCGCTACTCAGACTGAATCTGCTCTCATCTGTAAAGAGTACTCGTTCCCATTCATTGTCTCTCCAATTCCGGTGTTCCCGGCACCACAGAGAACGCCTTCTCCTATGGGCAGGCGTTAGAGGTACACACCGTACAGGGCGTCGTGCAAACAGACCACCACCGTGCAGTCTTCTGGCCATGGTAAAACGCGATATCGGTCGTCCAGTCGCCTGTGTCGTGTGTCTAGCGATTTCTCCCGCTGTCTGCCGCCTGTTTCTTCTGGCCTGTAAGGCAATATACGGTCATCTGCGGGTGTGGTTCCTCGTGGACGACCACTACTAAACCCCCGGATAGCTGTTCTTATACTTTGAAATTGTCTCTAAAGTCGTGAAACGATGCTGTGAGCAATTCCGAACTCTGCAGCCACACTTGTCACACTGCGGCCTTCCTCCAACTTCCCAATGATTCGACCTCGGGTAAAAGCATCCAGATGTCGTCTAACAGATTGATTATTCGCCATTTCTCGCTGAGGCAGCACTCGGTGTAATTTTAACTGCTATACGGCGTGCAACCTCTTTGCCAGAAATACTGATCTTACACCGACAACATGCTTTATACTACTCAGACACTCCCCCATTACGTCTACCTGCATATCTGCGCATGTACATCACCTTACTTAATCTTCTGATTGGTCTTTCTGTCCGCTCTGCCTCTTCGTTCAGCTGATATGCTAATTTTTCGACTTCGTCCTTAATTTTTGCACACCAGTGTAGTTCTCATCCAATCAATTCAGTTCGCACTTTGCAGCAAGCCAAAAATACATAAAAACTCAGAACATCTTCGTTGAAAATTGTAAAATGCAGAAAAACTCAAAACACCAGATACAGTTAAAAACAGTTAAAATTCTTTTTATGATTAAAATTAAAGTTTCTAGGAAAAAGCAAGCAACTCGGCCAACGGCCAGAAAGACCTCTTGCATTTGCTATTCAAAGCAATGTTGCAATTGCTTCTTCAATGGTATTGCCATGGCCTTTGGCTTTTCACTAAAATTTAAAATACATATTTATAGCAATGAGACTGATTATTTTTATGGGAATTATCGGCATTATTGTAATGTAAATGGAAGGTGTTTCTAACGCCATATTTTAGGTACTACAGAACAGCATCAATTGGTTTTTCCTCAGAGATTCGTCAAAGATATGGTAATAAAAGCTCGGTAATGTTGGGTCTCGCAATCACCGACCAGATTCTCAGAAAGTTTGGGCAGCGAATTGTTGCACCAAATATATTCCATAACCTGCTTTGAGACTAAAATGCAGAAAACAACGATTTTACAAACAAATTTAAAGTCTGCTTCTTCTTTTTGAAGTACCTATGCAAAAGAGCTCATTTCATATTCGGACGTATGCAGTATTATAAATCAGGGATTCTCGATCCTTTTCATGCATCGATCCTACTTAAACGCGTTATAAATAACTTAACAGCCAGACTAAGAAAAGAACAAATTTAAAAAAAAAAAAAAAAAAAAAATGGTTTAATCGATTTTTAGTCAAAAGGGGCAGTTTCCCCAGAAAGACTATTAATTTCGTTTTGGCATTTTGCGTTGGTTCACTATAAATGTCCGATTCACTTTTCAAATTGTTGCCACCAAATATTATCGCCCTGTATTATATTTCAAAAAATTAAATAATGCAGAATCTGCATAAATGTATGTATGTTTCTCGCATTGTGATACAACATAGAGCCATCACATTTTAAGTAACGTAAATTTCCTGCCAATATGGGCATCTGGAAGCCCAAATTTGAATTTTTTTTTTATCGATTTCATATTTTGTAAAGCTTTAACGAATCTTTGATTAACAAACTCAAGGATTTGAAAGCGATCAATGGCAACGTTGTACAGAAAAAAACCATTTTTATCTCCAGCGCGCGAGACTATGTACCCGAAATTCTAAAGATATGCTGATTTTAAAATTATTTTGAGATACTGCTTTTGAACTGAATTTTATGGTTTGAGTACGTAGAGCATGATATTTAATAAATAAAGGTAACACATAAAATGTTAAAAAAAACGCCTCTTTGAACGTAATTTAAAATCTGGAAGCTTTCAGATTTTCTTTCTTTACTTTTTTCATCTATCTCTTTTTTTTAAAATCGAATTAAAGCAAATTTTTATGAACATTAGTTGCAGTGTGTTCTTTGGAATGTCTAACTTTGCCATTCCTTTTCCTATCTGGACGTCTTCGTCGTCGTCTTCGATAATAATAAGTACTTGATAGATTTAATCACAAACTAAGAATTAATTTTTTATAAAATTTAATAAATATAGGTAACACACAAAATGTAAAAAAAAAAAAAAAAAAACCTTTGGGTGTAATTTAAAATTTGAAACTTTCAGATTTTTATTTATTAATGCTTTTTTTAATTATTATTTTTGTAATTTTAATTTTACAAATATAAACAAGCTTTCAGAAAAAAAATCACAGATTCTAATTGCACAAAAGTTCTATTAAATAATATATAGTCTACCTTTTTGTAATGATGCAATTTTTTTTAATATTTGACATAAAATTGTTTAATTCTTAAATCACCTCGTTCAACAATATTCAACTTGTTTTCCATAGTAAATTGTTGAAATGATTAAGTTTTGTTTCTGCTAAGTAAGAAGTGTGAAAAAGATCAATAATGTTTGTTCGGTAACAACTTATTATATGGGATATTTCTGTGAAATAATTATCAAATTCCGAAACTTAGTGAACCCATGCGTTTCCAATAACACTTGAACATCCACCTTCAATGCAATCAAATCGTTTTTTGTATCATAATATCAAGATCAGTTATATCACAATTCAGAGGTTCTCTAAGAAATGATGCACCTATTAAAATTTTCAATGTCTTAAAAGCGAACATTAAAATTTTCTTTTAAATTTTACAAGTGTCTTGTTTATAACTATATATATCTTCTGAGTGAATACAATCTTTTTCAATAACGGACCCTCGTATTAAGTTATCAAAATTCTGCAATTCTTTTTGATTTAATGGCGATATAAGCAAATCAATTTCAGAGTGAAAACCGAGGATAAGCGTTCTAGCTTCAGTGAGACTGCAGATTGTTTTGTTGAGCGATGGATATTTTTGAATTTTATTAATTGTGTCGCCATAGGGTTGGCAACTTTAAGGAAAAATTCTGTCATGATATTAAATACATCGGCTATCGTTTCCCAGTCGACCGCTTGTTTATCAAACAACACCTTTAAAATTTCATCTATCCCTGGGGGAGGGGGGGGGGGGGTCAATGCCAATACCTACTTAAAGAGAACTTCCAATACATTGTACTGCCATTATGTTTTTTGAAGCAGAAAATGTGAAAAATGGGCAGTATCCTTGCCAGGACTCGACCCTGGACCTCTCGAATACGCGCCGAGTGTACTGCCGTTACACCACAAGAGTGTTCTGGAAGGAGCGAGGAAATACCTATACTCTCCCCTCTTTAAAAAGGCGACTGGGGATTAGGAGACCCAATCGCCAAATCCTGGTGATGCCGAATTATCGTCCACCACCTTTTAGTTCGGGTGCCACTGTAGAGCCATTAGGTTTTCTTTGAACTAGACGACAAGAGAAACGAACAAAGCCCTCACCTGGACTTGGACGTCTCGAATACGCGCCTAGCGTGTTACCGCTGCACCAAGAAGGCATGCTTGAAGTATGGAAAAAATATCTCATAACCTTCTTCTGTTTAAGAAGGTATTTTTAATACAGATCCCGTTGGAAACTCCTAATATAAATGAATTTCAGATTTCCGGAATCCAGACATCTGGAAGTCTTACGCGAAACGCTTGTTTTCTTTTTAAGAGAACAATTATTAACAATTTTACTTGAAGTTCACTTGTTTCACAGTAGGCTTGTACAATATACGACTCGAAGGGTATGGCCCGGATTTTTTAATCTAAGTGTTTTAATCCATCCCATTTATTACCATTTGTAATTTAAACATTTTACGAACAGAAGTTGTGGAAAAATTAATAACAAAAAATTGCTAGGGTCATAATATTATGCTCATTCTTACTCAGTGGACTTACAAACACGGTCAGTGGTGTGTATGGTTGAGTAAAATAATTTATGAATTTGTGTATTTGACTGCAATTGATCATAATTTATTTTTTTTAATTTGATGAGGAAGATAAAAAGGAAAATAAAATGAGGAAAATAAAGTTGTTTTTTAAATTTTTAATTTCAGGTTTTGCGAAACAGAAATTAATTGCTCTGTTTTGGTTTATTTCAAAATTATAACGTGTCACGTGCTTATCAAAAGGAAAAGAAACTGTAGTTTCAAAACTAAATTACAGTCTAAAAATATCAAAGAATTCGTTACTGAAAATTAAATAAATAAATAAATGCGCCATAAATGAACTTTTTGCAGTATTTTAACACAGGAAAAGATTTAATTAATCAAGATGTTGTTGTGGAATTCCCTTCCACTCCTAAAATCGCTTGTAAGAAACATTTCCCGTAAGTGCAGTGGATTGCAATCCCATTTTGTTCAGGTGTTGGGCCAAAGAAGAAAAGATTCTAAGAAGAAAAACACGTTAGAGTAGAATTTAAATTTAGGCAGAAGAGAAAAATAAAATGAAAAGTACGTTTGAACATCCCCGAAATCGATAGCACTTTTTTCAATATTTAGCCGAAAAAAAAAAACCTTTTATCTAATCTTTAAACATTAAAATGTTGTTATTACTTTTTTGGCGAGCAATGCGGCATACATTTGGCGACGAAACGACACATGCTATCCGCACAACAAGCAACCCTGCTTAGCAAGAGCAAGAATGAAAAACTTGAACCTCATCCACTCTTAAGAGCGACTGACTGCTACGGTGAAACTGTCGACGGTCGAGATAGTACCGGGTCGCGGTCTGTTTTTCCCCGCATATATAATCTACTAACAAGCAGTTCGACTTGTGTCTCGCAGTGCTCACCGCTGATAAACGAATTTTTTTCACCCTGTTCCGTTTGATGGATCACCCCGTCTCCTGCCAACTACTACTACTACAAGGCACGACTCTCCTAGAATATTTACTGATTTTCTCTTTCTCGCGAGTCGGTGTTGAGAATGGTGATACTCCTTCCCAGACGAACTGAATCAAAAATTAATCTGAATGTGAACTTATCCACATCTCCATGTGAAAGGTAATAAAAGCGGTGTTTTTAAAGTGGTGCTGCGTGGAGTGGTAGGCGTTCGAGAAACTGCGAAATGATATTTGTGAAAAGAGAGTTATGGCAAACATGAACTGTTGCCAGTTGGCGAACTGAAATTTGGGAAAAAAAAAAAAAAAAAAATGGGATTTCTATAAATTAGAATTGTGGCCAATGGGCAAACAGCATTATTGAGAGAAATGGAGTTATAATTTTGAACTGTTGATCACAAAGTCGAATTTTTTTTAAATCAAAAATATAGTTGTTTTCGCTTGTTAAAAATAAACAGCATGAATTGTGTGATAAAGAACTGAAACCGCGAAAAAAAAGATTTAAGCAGAGAATTTTGGATAATAAGAATTTCAGGAATCTTGAAAAGGAAAAGGGGGAATTGACAAATACTGCAGGTGTGGTCGGATTGGATGTTTTCCCCCTTTGGTTCGTCCCCCTTTCTGCCATTCGCTCCTCCCATGGAACCCCCTACCGTTGTCATTCTTTGACAGACACGTGATCGGATTGGATAACAGTAAACTACACAGTTGTGAAAGTGTCAGTGTGTGCTGCAATCCTTCGCTGAAAGCAGCTTCACGTTCTCTTTGCTTTGCATCGTAAGTAGTCTTACTACATACTTAGAAATGCATAGTGATACTGTGCCTTTTCATACAGTTTACAAACTTATAGTGCAAATATCTTGTACGTTGCTGCTCATATGAAGAAACTTTGCATTTTAATCATACCTTTGGATACAACTCCGTTAGTACGTTTTGGAGATTAGATCCTCGCATGTTGATAACTGTGATTTACATCAAGTGAAAAACTGCGACAAATGCGCAAAAATAACAAATTATTAAAAATGATTCATGATTTAAGGTGCTATTTTCCGTCTAATTGTCAGCAATGAAACCTACGAGCAGAGTCGTTTTGCCAATCACAATGGACTTCAGACATCCGAGAATGGATCCCAAGCTCGCCGTGCCTGTTTCCTTCGTAGCTGGTATTCTGATAGGCATACCCATTACGTATTGTCTCTTGTTTCTCCCTATCCTCTCCCAGGAAAAGGAATGCTATGTTGCTAGAACGAATCACGAATTTGGGCCTTTAGTTATTCAAAGAAGCCGTTTTAATGTATCCTTACAAAGCGATATCGCCGCGGCCACCGATGATGGAGAAGGACACGTGCGAATCTCCGTCATGCCTGTGCCTGTTCCCCGGGGCGATCCGGCCAGGACTCGTTCTGCCTTCTCCCTTTTGGGACTCCCTGCCGCGTTCAAACCGTCCAGGACGAAGCAGCGTGAAAATGCCGATGTGGTGTTTTTGAATAATGGAGCTGATGATCTCGAAGAAGCAAATCCAGAAAGTGTATTGCTAAAGTTGTCATCAAACAGCACTTTTATTTCAGAGATGAATTCCACAAGGCATTCATTCCAAATCGGTGACTTAGTTGATGGTGTGTTTTGGACATCTTTCGCGGAAAAATTAGTGCCGAAGGGTTTCGACGATGAAGACATCACACGGTGGAGAAAATTCCTAAATCACACCCAAGTCTTAAAATTGGAAGAAGGTTGTGGTCGCATGCAAAACAGACTAATCATCTTGGAAGACGGAGGCAAATCTTGCTGCCGATACAGGCATAACAATGATCAGATTCAAGGAGAGATCTTCTCGTTTTACCTAGGCAAGCTTTTGGGTCTCCAGAACTTATCACCCTCTTCTTTGGCTCTAGTGGACCCAAAACAGAAGAAGTGGTCTATTGCTGCTTCGCAAGTGGCTCTTGCTCAGTGGAGTTCGGAGAGACCAGTGGTGTTGACACAGTTCGTAGAGAGGCTGCAACCCGCTTTCATCCCCAGACACTTCCGCGTCGATATGAAGCGTCGCTTGCATCCCATACCTGAAGACATCTCTGGTTTGTCGGCTCAGGAAATTGCCGAACTCGTCCAGTGGTCAGACCTAATTGTATTTGATTACTTGACTGCCAACTTGGACAGAGTGGTCAATAACTTGTACAATGAGCGATGGAACTCAGACATGATGAAGCAGCCCACTCACAATCTAGCTAAAACCCCCGAAGGACTTCTGCTCTTCCTGGACAATGAATCGGGTTTATTGCACGGATATAGACTTCTGGAGAAGTACGAAAATTTCCATAGAGCCCTGTTGGATGGACTGTGTATTTTCAGGAAGCACACAGTCGATATTGTGGGTAAACTGCATCGTGATAACAACGTCGAAGTTGCTCTGAAGCAAGCTTTCATGAGCAGTGATCCAGGTATGTTGGACTGGCTACCGTTTTTGCCAGAAAAAAGTGTGAAAACTCTAAAAGACAGAATAGCTCACGTTCAACAGCACGTTAGGACTTGCAAATCAAGGTTCTCTTCATCAGCTGTGTTTTTCCAGACCCCGGTCACTGATCGGTAGCTCTGTGTTGGACATAGTAAGTGTATTTCAAATTTCTGTTCCTTGAAACAAAACTGTGGTAACCCATGCATGCAATTCTAATTTATTATATTGTTAAGACAGGCTTTAAATAAACGGGAATGTAAGTTCTTACAAACTTCTTCGGAAGTTTGTGAAATTTTAAGCTGTGTACATTTACACCCAATTCTATTTTTATATAAAATATTATTTATATTTAAAAAGCATCCTCCCCAAAAAATGGAAAGATTTAAAATCAGCTTATTTTAAAAAATTATATACATATGAATATATATGTTAATTATACCCACATAAACAGAGAGTAAAAATATATACACATATAAGATAGTATGCTAGTGTTACTGTTAACTACTTATGTACTAAAAGTCACATGCACTTTAATAAATATTGTATACTATTACTGATACAGTAATTATGCACTGAATATTTTTTCTACTGCTATAATAGTAGCTGTTGCTTTGTTATTATTCTTTAGTAATATACTATTGTTTCCATTATTAGTATTATTATATCGCTGAAAAATTATATAGTATGCATACTAAGAAATAAAATTTGCAATAGAAAAATTAAGTCATTTTCAAACAAGTTATCTCAAAACTTTAATTATATCTTATTTTCAAACCTAGTGAATATATATATTATTTTACGATTTATAAAGATATGAATAATAGAAAAATATGTGAAGTAAATTATCTTTCATGAAGAAAATAAATGCCGCTAATTTATACAGGAATGCAAATTAAACGCATTTTTTTTTAAATAAAAATATAACACACACACACACATATATATATATATATAAAGTTTGTTCTCCTTTCTTAAATTATATATGTATCTATATATAGTAAAAAATCCTATTAGAGAAACTAATCAATTATTTATTTAGGCACAAAAAATTAAGTAAAGCATGATTTTACACATATGCGTGCTATTTTAAAATTTATTCCTTGTGGCATTTATTACGGAAAAAAAAAAAAAAAAAAGAAAGAAACAGATTTTGTGCAATTTTTCTTGCATTAAGTCACACTGTACCAATCACCCCCTTAATATTCTCAATATATATTTTTAGCTATCTAATGGTATTAATATAAGGTTTTGATATATATATATGACACATGTTACATCTTACTCATCTGAAGTGTGTAGAAGATAGAAAAAAAGAAAAAGAAGAAAAAAAGAAAGAAAAAAAAACTTGCTACATAGTTATTTACGTTAGAGTAATTTTTGGTTTGAGGAATTTAACTGTGTTTGGTATTAAAAAATTTTTAGAAGCGGTTTGTTTCCTAAATGAACAATGACATTTGTTACTGAATAGTGATAAATTGCCTGTATAATTATTACAATTTTAAAACCGGTTCGCCGAAGTAATAGAAACTGTCCAAATCAGTGAATCTCATAACTAAATTTTAAGTTGTAAAAGTTTGCCATTTTCGAAGTAAAAACGGCCTAAACAATTTTGACTATGAATGTCATATTCATTATAAATGTTAATTCTTTAAATTCTGTTGAATAAGAATGTTTTTTAAAAGTGAAATGCAGGTGGAGATTTTTAAACAAGAGCCGGTATACGGTGCTACATTTACATCAATCCTGAAAAAAAATTTCCGTTTAATTTTAAGTAAACCATTAAATCAATGTTAAAAAAATTCCGCGAAAATAGAAATAGGTGTATGATTCACAGATTAGATACAATCAACTGTATAAAAGTTCAATTTAGAAACGATTGAGTTGGTGGTTATCACTGTTTTGTACCAAGAAATTGATATATGTTCCTTGTATAAAATAGATATTTAAAAGAAGTTGTATATTCATATTTTAGCAAAAATTTCTTGCATATAGCAAAGATAAAGGGTAGAAATCATGAAATGTAGATCTGATGCATTTGCAAGCACCGAAAAGGGTCTAGCATTCTTGTTTATGTTATTTGTAATTTTCCATCATCTTAAAAAACTCCTGAACAAGAGCTTTCAGAAATCAGAATTCTAATATTTGTTACTTAACTTTTGGTAACATAGTATCCTTTTTGTAATTTTTAGGCATTAATTATATGTTTATTTTATACCTATATGTGAAACAGTGTTGGTTTTTGTATGAAAAATTACTTACAAAATTACACAAACCAAAAGTATTTTAAAAGCATTTTTTTTTTTTTTTTTTTTTCCATCAGTAATTTAGTTGGATAGAATTTAAGGGAGGCAAAACACCTTTTTTTTTTTTTAAAACTTCCTAAAATTCTAAAAACCATTTTCTGTGTGTTTAGATATTAATAAATATATTCTATGAATTTCGTTTCATTATCATAACTAAAGAGAATCATCATAAAGTATTTTATTGCATGTTTGCATTCAAAGTGAACTGAGTTGGAAACGTTGAATGCAATTTTCTCAGTTTTTGACCTCTTGCATTGTTATAAATTAATTAAATTCTACCATTTTCAATTTGCCTATTAAATGAAAATTTTAAGGAAATAATTAAATTTTGAAATATCACAAAACGTGAAATAAAAGCGATATGCATGAAATAATAAAATATTCGAATTAATTTCTTATTTACAAATTGCAAGTTTAAGACATGAATTAATATTAAAATAAAATGTTCAAACGATTATGGTGTTTATTACAAGACGGTAAGTTATATAATTTTAATATGTCATAGTTAAAATACTTTTCTTGCATTTAACAAAGAAAATTTAACATTTTGGACGTTAACAAATATATATAATTGTAACTTCTTGTTGAATATAAGTTGAAGTAAATACCCGCAAGACGTAAAGCTTAAAAAGAATTTTTAATTTTTAAAATATTGTCGTTTTTCCTTCAGTTTCTTTTCGGAACGTAATTTAAGTGGTGATATAAACAGAAGTTATCGAAATACTCAAATAATTACTGATTGAATAAAATCAGGGGGGGGGAAGGGCGTGCAAAATTTTGTCCTAGGTATTCTATTTCTTTTTGTTGAAAACGATAGTGGACACATATTACAAAATTTTGAAAATGCCTTTCTATAGATTATTAAAAATCTATAACATTCTTAACATGAGAAATGTATGTTGCAAATGTTAAGAAGTACAAAATAAAATGACTTCTAAAAGGATTAACTTTCGTGCATCGACCAACGCAATTTTGTAACATTGAAGTTAAAGAAAAATCTATATTGAAAACATTTCGGACAAATTTTTCTTCGAGGTCTTTAACAAAACAACTGAGTGGTCTGTCTGCCTACCTAAATATTCAGAGCAAATAGATTATTGAATTCTTGTACTATCGTTGCTAGATATTTGCTTGCTTGAAAATTCTGTGATAAAGCACATGTTAATTCAGTTGCAAAATTAACATATAATTTATCATGCAATGTTAAAATTTCTAAGAAGAATGTGATGAAAGTTGTAGTTAATGAATGTTAAAACTCGTGGTTGAATATTTAATGAAACTACTTTTTATCTGAAATGTTTTACTTTGCTTTAGTACTTTTAAATGGAGAACTATCGTAGTTGTCGAAGAATATGAGACGGTTTTAAAGATTTAGAGCTATTCTGTACCTTAATTTTATAAAAGCAGGGGAAAAAAAAATACTTATTACCTGCAGAATCTTTTTTCAACCTTTTCTTAAAAATAAATGAATGAAAAAGGAAATCATTTCACAACAATTTTATTATGAAAAATATAAATAAATGCGCGTTTTATTATCACTGAAGCTTCTTTTTTATCAACGAAACGTCTACCAGCCGAATTCAATTACAGTTAAAATTTTATTGTTATTAATTCCGTTACGCTCTAGTAACAGTGAAAGAATAAATATAATAATTTCGAAGCAATTCATAGGTATATTTAATATGCAAAATATTTTGGATGTTTCTGGAATGTAGGGGGAAAAAGAGTTTAGTTGGCTATCGTACGTTCCGTTTTATTTGTTATTTGTTCGCAGCTTTTCAAAATATTTCAGGTGGGAAAAGCAGAAATTGCAAGAAATTCGATTAATAAAATACCAAGAAATTTGAAAGACATCAGGCATCCTCAAATACATCCCTTTCAAAATAAGTTGCTACATAAATAAAGAAATAAATAGTTTCTGATGAATAATAATAATCATTTTCAGATACACGAATTTTATAAGTACATAAAAATAGTTCTTTTTCAGATGCACGAATTTTAATTTAATAGTTTATATTTTCTGTGTTCCCACATCATAAAATTTGAGATCAGATATTCTCTAAAGCGTCTTTTTGCAACAAATAATAAAATGATAATTATTTTATTTATTCATTGTTATTTTGTTGAATAATAATAATAATGATTGAAAATTTGTTTTAATTTTTTTTTATTTATATTTTATTTATTCATTGTTATTTTGTTGAATAATAATAAATAATGATTGAAAATTTGTTTTAATTTTAATAGGAATATAAATAAATAAATTACTTAACGAAATCTCAAAAAGTCATTGCTTTTCAGATTATATAAAATTTTCTCAGCTGGGAATTTCATACATTTGCACATATAGTTGATTAATTCTGCTTGCTTCCTCTGTATTTTAGTTAACCTCCTTTAATTCCGTTAACGAATTCTATTTACCCCATCGATATTTGAGAGATAAAACCATTTCAGAAATTTGCAAAATTTATAAATAAGATGAAACTGAGATTCAGTTTTCAGATAAAATAATTCAACTAAAATTAATCATTCTGCTAAATATTCTGTTTAATATTATTATCATTTTGATGTGATAAATTCAAAGATATCCTCAAAAGCAAATTTCCTAAGTAGTATAAATATAACACATTTGGCACACGGGGATTTAATATTTAATTTAACATATAAAAGCTTAAACACGTGCATTGTTGATAATTTCGAATGTTACAGAGCTATACAGGAATTGTATGTAGACGTTTGATGCCATCTTGGATATAATTATTGCTAGTGTATTGTAGAGATTGTTTTATTATGAGCACCATTCCATATCAATTTAATCAGCTTAAAAGTTGAGCTTGAAAAGTATTTTACTTATTGAATTTTTTTCGCATATTTCCGTTTGGCAACACGCACTTTTGGCTTACACATATTCTCTTACAATGTTGCACATGTTTAATAATAACTAATAATACTGTTGTGGCAATTAAATAATGCAACTACATTCTTTAAAATGAACGCTAAGGATTTTACAAAGGCTATTCACACATTTTTTAGACGATTTTCATTGTAATAACAGAAATATTTTACCAAATATTTTTATGTTTTAAATGCTCTATTTGATAACCTTTATTCTTTGCTATCTTCACACACCGTAATTTCCAAGACAATAAACCATTTTTTAGTTTCGAAAGAGGTATTTTATCCTATTGCTCTCGAACAACTTTCCAAAGTCTGAGAACGTTGTATTCCGACTACTCGCTTTTTAAAAGTTCAAAAGCGCAAAAATACGTTGGTGATAAATCAGGAGATTTATCAATAATATGAGTGAATGGTATGGTCT